GTAATTCCAATGGTATTTTATTTTTGCCAATGGTTCTGTCTCTTACAGATTTCTGATGTGCAGCCAGGAAAAGGACAGTTTTTAGATTATACCAAGGCTCCTTTCTCGTTAAGTTGGATTTTAGTATTTGAAATCTTTTCTTTAGTCTTAAATAATTTCAATTGGAAGACAAGACAAATCCTGTTGATTTCCCAATCTAATAAATTTAAATTTTATTTTTTGAAAAATGTTTTAAATCAAAACAGACAAATTAATCGCTTTGAGTTTTCTTATTAACATAGTCTCAAACTTGTAATAAATACTTTTTTTTTTCTCCCTCTTGCTATTGTTTCTTAAATACATTGACATTTTGATATCTTAGTGAAAACAAATAATGTCTTTATTCCTTTTGTCAAAAGGTCAAATAATTTTTCATCAAAATTGTTCCATCAACAAAAAATTATCAGTAGAGTGGGTTTCTTTTAGCTCATTTTAAATAATTTTATAGTCAAATTCAATGCCTGATAAATCAAAAATCTGAGATTTCTTTTTACTTTCACTAGCGTGAACCTGAACAAAAAAGGGTATAAAAAACAAAACAACATCAAAACATCATAAAGACTTAAAATAAAATCCACAAAGTATTTTTTTTTTTTTTATCTGTGACATCTACACCTCGTCTTAATTAGTTTTTTTTTTTTTTTTTTTTAAAAAATTAAAAACTTTTCCCAAATTTGTTCAAAAACATTGTTTATTTTTGTTAACAGTTTATCGATTGGTGAACAGAATTTTATAATAAACAATTGTTTTTCCAATTAGTTTTAAAATTATTCTTGTTTTGTAAAAAAAAAAAAAAAAAAAATTTGCAAGACAATTCAAACACTATCCTACCAAAAAAAAGTCAAATTTTGTTGAAATCGGTTGAAAAATGTAGATAGCTTTTCTCTGTAATCTTTTACAATTTATGATTTTTACTTATTGAATACAGTAAAAAAATTGCATATTTTGCTTGTGGTGATTCATAATTAGAATTCTGATTTGAATATATTTTCCACTCGTTGTTTCTAATACAAAAAATATTAACTTTATTTGGGTTTATTAATTTATTACAAGTACTGTGTTCTTTCCTTAATAATTATCATCTTCGAAATATTGTTGTTTTTGTCTATCAGATTTCTTACATCGGCATTTTTAAATTATTTCTTAATACTTTCTTTTTAAATATTGAATTAATTTCAAATAGAACCAATGCCTTATTGATCTGCCTTGTAACAAATTGCAAAGGGAATTGTAAAAAAACAGCCCTAAAGTACGTGGAATTATCTTTCCCTAAAGATAAAGAATTATCTGATTTTTTGATTCGTACAATCAGTAGAGATCGTTAGATTATTGTTTAGGTTGACGGACACGCATGTCTTAGTTTGTTTTTTTTTTTACGAATTGGTCAAACCCAAAAATCAAACAAAAACATTGTTTTTAATCGTTATGATGAGTCCCCCGATTGAATAGAATTAGAATTTTATTATAAACAATTGTCTTGTAAATTGAATTTTTAAAGCATTCTGAATGTATAAATAAAAAAAAAATTTTGCAAGACAATAAGAAATACTACTTGCCAAAGAAAAAAAAAGAAAAAAAGTGGATGTTTGTTTTATCGGCTGAAAAATGTAAGAAATCCGATCCCATATATAAAGGAACACACACACACACACACACACACACACACACACACACAACCTGGGTTTTTTAACCTAAGTCACTCCACGGAATTGCTAAAACATAGAGCATAGTCTGATGAAAAAGACGCCAAAGTTTATGAAAACAAAATTTTATCGTCAAAATGCTTATGTTTTTATGAAGAGGATAGACTAAATTTTTTTTTAATTATTTTAAAAATTTTTTCCATCTTTTTAGAATATTTTAAATTTTGATTTAAGAAACCTTGTTTCTCTTTGTTGCAACAAGAGGTAGTAAATAACATAGATAATTTTTAGCGCGTTTTTTTTTTTGTATTTACACACATTAATTTGGAAAATCTTGCAAAAAAAAAATAATTGTCAGATGTTAATGAAACTTTCAGAAACTATTCACAGATGATCGAAATTATTATAAATATGTTTTTTTTAAAGTCATGGCAGAAATATTTTTTTTTTTTTATATTTATTAACACCCCATAATTAAATTTTATGAAAAACTCTAGAAATTGAGACCATCGGTTTTAGTGATTATTAGTTAAAAGTTTTGAAAATGCAAATAAGTTCAAATGCTTTTATTTGTTTTAAAACAAATATTTATTTAGTTTTTTTTATTTGAATTTGTTTTTTATGAATATGGACAATATTTTCTGAAAGCAAAAAATTTTTCAATGAAAATTGAATTTTAATACAATTATTTCTTATTTCTTTAATTTTAAAAAGATTTTTAAAAAATTTTTAAATTGAATTTTTAAAAATATTTTAACATTAGTTAAAAGCAACATCAACCTTTCAAAATGTCCGTGTGAGATTGTCATTGTCTAGAGCTTTGAAAATTGTATAATTTGGACCAATCAGATTAGCCATGGTAATTAAGAAATGTAATTTTTGTGTTTATAGTCAGACAGTAATTATCAAGTATGGAAGACCAACCAGAATACAATTTAGTTGCATTATTTGAGTTCAGCATTGTTCTCCGCTGTTAAGCCCTTTACTTTTACGAAACACGTATGGAGAAGTTAATTTGAGTTTTCGATTTCAACTGAGATGATTACCTACAAGTAACAGTATCATCTTATGAAATTTAACTACTGCTAAACTTTAATTTATATGATCTTATTTTTATATTAATCTCAGTTATGACATTTTTCCATAAATGAAATATCAAAATTAATAATAAAATGAATGGAAATACAAATAACACAGTAAAATGTAATAAATGTACATAAAATTATAGTATTTTATGTACACTTCTGATAAAATTTCATAAGAAAGGTACCTAAATTAATTAGATACCTTTTTTTTATGAAATTTAATCTCACTATTAACAGTCTTATTTTTTAATTTCTTTATATTTTCCATAAAGCATCGTAAACGTAAAAAATGAAAGCTAAGTACAAAAAAAAAAAAAAAAAAATTAGAGCGCTGAAAGTTTTCCTTAAAAAGTAACGAGGTAAATAATTTGTTCACTTAAATAATTTCACTTCCTTCCATCCGTAGAAAGAATTATCCTCCCGTAAGTTATCTAAATGTCATGAATGTGCCTTTCGCCAATCGTCAAGCGACGCAAAAGGTTATGACCTGCTTTGTTTTATTTTTCAAATTACATTTTTTCGGCGCAGAAGCTAAGTTAAGCTTGGTTCAAAATATTTTAAATAAACAGTATAATTTCTGTTTTTATTAAAATCAGTTTTGAAAAAATGATAATCGATTTTTAAAAGAATATCAAAGTCAGATTTTAATCTTTTTTATCAAATCGAAAAAATGATTGAAAATGATTGATTATCTGTCCTTTTTTTACCAAAAAAAACAATATTTTAACGAAAATTTCAGACGTGCTAGGAACGATTAAAAAAAAATGTAAAAAATACCCCAAAAATACTTTGATCTTTCCTCTTTAATAATAATATGAACATTAGACGATATAATTTTGTTTTTGTCAAGTTCGGCTTTTTTTTTTCATCATGCTATGCTCTTTTGTTTACATTTTCGTGGGTGAGTTCTCCCCCTTTCATTCTCACAATGTGTCTTAATCGTGTTTTCAAATTGATTTTCTTAAAAAACAATTGTGTTTTTCCCATTTTTGGCACCGTTAGAACCACCACAAGGTAATTTTAGGTCGTCCTGTGAAGTTTTGTTGAAATCGGCTAAAAAATGTAGGAAATTCGATCCAATATATAAACGTTACAGACACACACACACACACACACACACAATCTGCGTTTTATAATAAGTAAGATAATTAGTTTAATACCACACCTTGAGAAAATGAGGTAAGTTCTGAGAAGAGGGTTTTTCCTGACAGACTTAAATGTTAAATTCTAATGGAAACGGCAAAAACTGTGATCTACCAAGCAGGTTCAAATCTGGTATTGATGAAAAAGCTTGAAAGATAATCAGTGTTGACAATTAAAGGCAAAATAACAACACTATGCTGAAAAGTTCTTGGCTTGACAAGGGGTTACATAAGATATTGTTTGTTGTTTTGGGACAGATTTTAGGAAAAGGTCCGATTAAGAATTTTTCAACAATCCTCTGCATTACTTTGCTAAATCACTTTAATTCTTAAGGACAATTAAAACTGATTTTCTTTTATTTAAGAAAGAAAGAACAAAAGATGTAACTTGTTTGCAATAATATAACTCTGATACTGAAAAATTTGACATTTGTCAGTGCCATTTTGAAAAAAAAAATTAGGCAGCAGTAAGAATATTTGCATGCAAAGTGGTATTTCTCAGTTAAACTCTTGTGATTTTTTTATTATTATTATTATATGTTTAAATTTTATATTACAAATGAAAAATGCAGTCTCTTCATATTTTTAATCATCACAAGGTGCTTGCTATTAAATTATATTTTGCAGTTTTTTTTCTTGCAAGTTGTTGTTAGTGAGATTGTTCATTGGATGCTTCATTATTTTAGCCTTGTACCAGATTAAACTAAACTAAGCAAATACATAAATTTGATCCCCACTGCCCAAATAGTCCTTTATATTGATATTCATTGAAATCTGTTGTTGATTTTTTGAATGAACTTCTGCTTGAACTGAAAGTGGATTGATTATAATTATCATAATTATATATCAAGTCCAGATCCAGAGCTTTGATTATACTGCTGCGGGATTTCCCAGTGACTGGGTTAGGTATCAGTTGGCTAGTTCTCATTCTTTCTCCCCAAGCATCCCTGTTAAGCAGGTTATATATATATATATATATATATATATATATATATATATATATATTGTTTGCCAGTATAATTTTGAGGCTTATTTCATTCTAAGTCTGTTTTTAAAAAAAATGTCTTTCATATATGTTTTTTCTTTGGTAGATACTGTGCCAATTATAATTCAGAATTTGATTCGGGGATTGCTGGTTGAAGATCCTGTCCAGGTAAATGGATAATTTTGTTGTCTTTAATGACTGAACAAAAAAAATTTTATTTATGGAAAGAATTAAAGGTGTTTTTTTTTTTTGTTTGTTTTTTTCTTCATAATAAACTTTATCAATATGTGAACAACACATGAAAAACAAAACAGCCTGGCACCTCACAAATGGTCCAATAGTTAGCAAAGTAGTCTTGCAGACCATTATTACTATTTTAAGTTAGCACTCACTGAGTGCCATATACTTGTTCCCTTGCTTAGTAAATACTTAGGGTTTGCTTATGGGTAATATTTCTCATTAGGAACAGTGGTTGGTGTTCAAGCCTCGATAAAACCAGGAATTTGTAGTTTAGCAGTAAACACCCCCACTCCCACACACACTTTGAAAATTGGCCCAAAACAATCTTTCAAAAGTTTTGAATTCTCATTCTTAAGCTAAACAGGTTCTAATAAGTTCCAATCCTGACAATTATCTCTTCATATTTATAAATGAAGTTCCATCCAGAATCAATGCCTTTAATAAGGATTGAACTGCTGTACTTCTAAATTTTTGCTGCTTGTAGTCATATCTGATTTCCTAAATTTAGAAACTACATGACTCTGTTATGTAATGAATCTTTTAATATTGATCTGTTGATATTCTTTCAGCGTCTGGATGCTCTAACAGCTACAAATATTGTGCATGTCTACCTGTGGGGTTGGCCAGAAAAGTCCAACAAGAAATTGAAGCCATTCTTGCTCAATTTGATCAATGAAGTGAAGAAAGATGAACTGAAAGAGAACAAAATGAACACAGAATGTTGTCTGAAAAAAGCCTTTCTGGAGCGCCTCAACACCGATGACCTGTTTGATGCCGCTTTATTTGTCTCCCCACATCATTCATTTGCTGTTGACCTAAGAAAGGTAATCCACCAATTCCCAAATAGCATTGGTTTCCTTTTAGCTTCAGAATGAGCACCACAAAAGACACCTCATTCAATATCCATTTATCTGTAGTTACTAAAACACAGAAGCAAAATGCTGTGATTTACTTCAGAATAAAGATTTTAATATAGCAAAATATAAGCATTATTATTACTGTTTTATTTTAATTTTTAGATTTTGAGTAAAGGAGTTGATTTTTTTCTTTTCATTTTTCTAAGTATTTTTATTTTAAAGTTTCAGTCTTGTACTTGCATTGTGCTGTGGCTTCCATGACAAGAACAACTTGAAGTCTTTTGACTTTTTAGACATTTATCAATCACCTTCATATTTTGCTTTCTCACCAAAACAAGCTTTTCTCATCTGTTCTGCACCTACTGCCTACTCTTTCAAATTCAAAATGCCTGTGACAAGGATACTTAATATTTCCCACTTAGTATTATATATATATATATATATATATATTTTTTTTTTTCTCATCAGCTTTTTATTTTTAATCTGTATGCTGGTTCAGTTTCAGATTAAACTAAATATCAATTTAATAAAAAAAAAAAGAAAAGATTACAGTAATAAAATGGCACAGTAATTTTCTACATTTTAATAAGCATTTTATTTCTCCATCTCAATTTCAATCATCAATTTCTATTTAAAATAGTTTTTTTTATCTATTTGTCACAGGTGATTAAAAATTTTCATTTGAATGGAAGCTGTTATGATACTTCTGGTAAAGACATTAGTTATTTTAGCAACCATATTGGTTACATGGTTGGCTCAATGGTGAGTAGTGTGGTTCTTCTGATCAAGACATTGTTTTCTTTCACACCAATGCTGATTATATGGTTGGCTCTTCCTTGGGCAGTATGCTCTGCTGGGTAAGGTAGTTGCTTTTTTGTTCCCAGCCTGTCCACCTGTTGGCTTAGGTTGATCTTCTTATGACCAGTACATTTGTGTACTTGTATAATCATTAGGTTTCTATAAACAGCCCGGTTTTTATAAATATGGAATCCTCGGTTATTTGTGAAAATAGAATTGGTTTGTTTTTTGTTTTTTTTTGGCTCTTCTCATCTTTTTTTATATCCCCAAAGTTTTTTTGAGTCTTGCTCATTCCAAGCAGATGACTTTTACTTTGATTAACAGATCCTGATATCTTTTTCCTTTTTCTTAAACGGATATTTTGAGATATATATATATATATATTCCCATCTGAAGATTGCTTCTGGCATGAGTCATATATGGAGGCATAAATAATTTTATTTTATACATATACACACACACACACAGAAGTTTGGCACAGATGGAATGAAATTCCAATAACCAAAAACACTTCTTAAAGAGTGCCATCAATACCAAGTAGAGGTAATCAGTATTTATTCAAATTTAAACAAATACATTAAAATCACTACAAAAGTTGACAGTTTATTTTGTTTCAACACTGCTGATGTCTTATTAATGGATCACTTGATAAAAATACCAGTGTTGAAAATAAAATTGCAACTTTGTTACTGAACATTTTTTGGCATTATATGTTATAAATTTGAATTAATACTAATATAATATAATCTGTCTTTAATATTGACCATCTTGTCGTTTTACTATTACTAAGAAATTGTATGCTATATATATATATATATATATATATAAATATAAATTATATATTTTACACACTAAAATAATTTGTTAGTGAACATAAAATGGGTGATCATTCTTATACTTAAACTCTTTGCCCATTTTATATTTACAAATTTTATATAAATAACAAAAATGGAGAATATTCATTATAAACTGAGTCAACCAATTCTTTGGACTAAAACAAATTGGGACAAATGTTGGCTTTTTTTTTTTTTTTTTTTTTTAAAAAACAATACTTTTGATTTTTCAATGTTAGAATTATTAAATTAATTGATTTAATCTAATGCATTTATCATGGCAAGGAGAAAGAAAAAGTTATTTAATATTTTTCTTAGATTGATTTTGAAAAAGAGACTTAACACATAAATTCTCCAATAATCTGTCATATATGTTGACTATATGAAAAAGTTCCTTGGATATTTTCCAAATCAAAAAGAAAGATATTAATGAAATGATATAATTCGCTATGTACTCAAATTAGGGTATTGCTAATATATAAAAGATTTTGTCCCCAGTTTTTATATTCTGTTTTGCTTATTTGCACTCTGGCCTTTTCCCGTTGTCTACACAGCAAAGTTTGGCTTGCAAAGTGAGCAAATTATTACAAAGCTTTCTTAAAATGTTTTCTTTTAAATAACCTTCCTGATAAAGTTTTTTCCAAATGTTGGTTTTATGACCCTCCAGTTAAATCCAAACTTTCTAAAAGTAGATCTGTAATTAGTGAATTCCATAATGAAAATAATTTTAGGTAAAAATGTATTAATTAATAATTATTAACTACTAATCAAATAGTTCATTAGTAATTAATAATTATTAATTAATACTTGATTAGTAATTAATAATTATTAATTAATACTTGATTAGTAATTAATAATTATTAGAATGAATCAAAGAAGTTTTATTGTTGGTACTTATGTTTCTTAAATTCTAAAAATCCAGAAAGTTGTTCAAAAATTGACAATTCTCTAGTTTTGGGATTCAAGAATGAATTTAAGAATTCAAATGTGAATGAATTTTTTTCTATGAAACCTATTCTTTGTTAAAAAAAAAATAGTGAGATATTGACAGAATTTATTTATCAAAGCAAAACTGTATTTCCATTGTTATTTTTACATCTATCTGAATATCTATTTTTTGCTTTATGATCAATTTTGTATCTCCATAAAGCATTTTTTTTTTATTTCTGACATTGATTTCAAAGAATGTAGACAATCTCCAAGATTATTGAGAACTTATTGATAGAGGGGATCAATATTCTGCTGAGGTTTTTGTTTCTACCTCCTAGAAGGGACTTTTTCAATCAGTTTTAGATTCCAGCTTTTGTTTCTGCATCGACTGTTAAAGCCCAGTAAGAAAAATATGCACAGCTTCCTCAAAAGCAAATATGCACAGCTTTGCTAAGAAACATCTTAAAGATATTAATTTTCAGGTAATTAACTTTTATCATATACAAAATCAATTCTTTCATCACATTATCAGGGTTGCAAATATTTACTCAAATTGATATGATTTATGAAATATGCTAAGCCTTTTCCACAACCTCTTTAGAACTGGAGATAAAAAAACATACAGTTAACTATGACCCTGTTTCTAACCATAAGATGAAGGAATAGAAGTTGTATTTTATGAAATAAAAATTAAATGGCACTTATAATTACCTTTGTGTTTTTGTAAATGATTTGGATATGTTATATATGATCTGTAGAGTATATATAGATATATTGTACAGACATATATACTTATTATCTAAATGTAATAAACTGATTTTATAATTTGTATCAAAGGTAAACAAATGAAAATTACAGCTTGTATTAATTTCAAAAGTAAATTAGTTCTTATTTTTACTTAAATTAATAAAACCCCTACCTGTGATGTAATTTTGCTAGTGCTTTCTTTTGCATTAATGAAAATTTATTATTTATCTCTGATAATTTTGGGTTGATAAAAAAATATAAAATGACCTTTTGTTAATTTTCAGATCTTTCTAAGACTTTTCTTCTGCTTGTCCTGCTTGCTTTCATGGATTAGACCTCCCAAATCACTTCAATTTGCTGCTTTTCAGAAAATATTTCAAACTGCCGCTGCTTCATTGCTTAGTTACTTGAGCTTTAAGAATTTTAACATTGCAGAAGTAAATCTGGATTGTTGAAAGATCTTCAACATTTTCTTTTTACTGATTTCCTTTTTATTCAAAGGAAAAAATACATTTTTTACCAAGGAGGTCTTCATAATTGTCCATTTTCAAATGGATCACTCGTATCTTACAATAGTTATTCAATAACCAACAAAATTTAAATAATCAAATTTTGAGAATTGGACTTTAATTCAATTCTATTCTTCAATAAAAGATAAAAATGCTTAAAAAATGAAATGGCCTGTTGGAAAAATGGAAAACAAAATTGATATTGAAGACTTTTAAAAATGTATGGATAAGTTGAGGAAGGGACTAAAAAAAAAAAAAAAGATGAATTGTTTCATGTTTTCTGATAATTTAACGAAAGCTTTTTCACAAATTCTTTATTCATTTATTGTCAGTTTAAAATATGATGACTATAAATGAATATCAGTTGATGGTAAATGCAATTTTTAAATATGAAATTTAAGTAGATTTTAACATTTGAGGTAAATTTTACTGATATTTTTGAAATGGACTTTGTCAGATTAGAGTCGGCTTCTGACTTCCCTTCTGTATTTATTTTTTTTTTACTTTCGCGAATGAAGAGAGGTAATTCGAAATTAAAGAAGCCAATTGGTTTAAAAAGAAAAACTTTTTACTTCTTTTACTTTTATCTTATTCTAATCTAAAGTCATGGAAATGTTTTTCTGATTTTTATTACAAAATAAGTAGTAATAGAAAATCATTGAAAAGTCTTTTAGATTTTACAAGTGTGCAAATGTACTGGCTATCGGGGATGGGTTTCTAGAATGTTAAAATCTGGATGTCTGATAGGTTTGGACTAAACTAAGGAAAGACCCAGGAAAAACCTTTAAGAAGCACATCAACATTGTATATGTGGATTGTTAAAATGGATGACATTCTGCTGGGATAAGATAATACAATTTGTTGCTCTTCACATTTAAAATATGCCCAATATTTATTCTTCAAACCACTTCCTATCTCCACTCCCTCCGCCACCTTCAGTTCTTCAGGATTATGCTTCAAACCTAAAGATAACCCTTTAAAATAGTATTTATTAAGCCACTTGATTTAAATTTGCTTTAAAACAAATATTCTTTAGCCAATACTGTGAATGAAAGCTTTTGTTTCAAGGGCCTATATGCATCTACTGATTGGTGCCATATTCTGGAGTAGTGATTACTCACTGGGTGCTCTTCACTTGTGGCCTTGTGCTGCACAAAGCTAAGTTTTGTTAATGCCTACATAGAACTCATATCAAACTGTTTAAAAATCAGAAAATGGAAAAGGCTTGCCAAAAGGGGTCAAAGAAAATTTATTTGAAAAGATGGCAAAGTTTATCTTTAAACACAGGTGGGTGTACCAGAATGATTTTATTTATTTATTTTCAGAATTCTTGGAGGTATGTGTTTTGCCTATCAAGGATTTCTAGGCTTTTCTCATCTTCAATGAAAGAAAAAATAAAGTGGGAGAGAGTTCAGGGATAAAAAAATGGAAAGTTCATAGTTTTGAATTGTTATCTCAAAAAGATTATGTGAAAGTCACAAGTGTTGAGAATAAAAATGGTTATTGACTTGGGCCAAATATTTGTAATATTTTATTTAATCTATGCCTTAATAAAAATCTGAATTGGGATAATATGAGTGTTTCTATCTGTGTTTTCTTTTGTATAAATTATTTACTCTTTTCTTCAGGTATATATGTGGGGGTGCTGAAAAGTTCCAGTTCAATCAAGAAGGGTGGTTACAAGGAAAAGAATTCTAATGTTTAGTCAGATTTGGGGGAATGTTGGGTCAAAAATTGATGGGAAAACATGGAGAAATGAGCCCACAATAAAACAGTATCAAAAAGGTTTATTTTTATTTTTATTTTTTTTTCATCTATGACACTGGTGTTTTAACTACCTTCAATCATCAGCAATGTCTATTATTTTAAAAAGCAATGATTAGAATTGAAATATAACCTAAGCATTATAAAAATGAATTTATATATTTGTTCTTAAAAATTGACAATAAAAATAATAAACTATTTATTTATTACATTGTTTATTTACATTCTTTATTTGTTATATTGTTTATTGGAATGGTTGGCAAAACATTGGCGGATTGCA